GATCATTTCAAATAAGTTCATGGCGTCATTTGATTAAACCTCCTTGTTCACAAAAATCCCAATCAATGAAACTATCGAGGTCATTTGTCAACATTCCTACCTTCTCCCACTTCCAGTGCTAATGTGTACCATGGATGAACTATTCCAGTTTGACAGCACTCTTTGCGGCAAAATAGATGGTGTAGCTATGGTCAGTCCACTTAGCCCTGTTTTAGCAGATATCTTCAGGTCCATCCTTGAAAGAACTAAGTTGAAGCATGCGGTCGTCGAAACAACTTCTTATCGTCGATATGTCTGTCAATGACACATTTGTAGTGTGCGACAACGAAAGTCATGCCTCCTATCTGCTTGGATTATTCGACGACGTGCATTCATATATTGAATCTACTGTGGAACATGAAAGCGATACAAGACTTCATTTCCTTGACATGACCATGCAACGCCTGGAAGATAGTAGTCTCCAGAGATCAATTTACACAAAGCCGACATGGAGTGGGCAATATATGCATTTTAATAGGTTTGTTCAAATAGCTAGCTGTAAACGAGCACTGGTCAAAACCCTATTCCATAGAGTCAGGAAAATATGCTCTACAGAAAGATTAGAGGGAGAATCGCTGATCCTCGAAAACGTGTTGAAAAACAACGATTACTTTTAGAGGTTTATCAACAAGTATGGAATATGTGAAGGCTATAATGCCAAACAAATCAGAGTGGGGAAAAAGCCTATCTTTTATGAACTTGGTTGTAAAGGTGATAATATTAGAGGAATAATCAATTGAGGATTGAATATGTCACTAGCTAGAGCCAATCTTCGTTCTCGTCTGTCGGACAACATGCTCTCTGGTGCGATCAAAAGTCAGCAGATACTCCTCTCATGTTAACTCCAAATGTGTGTGCAGATTGACATGTATCTGTGGGAGAACTTACATCGGGAGAACAGAAAGAAGGGCACACCTCCGATTTTCTTAACATGTCTACATTTCAAGGAAACAAATGCTTTCAATAGTCCTATTGCTAGGTATCTCCTCGATACAAGTCATGAGGTGGACATCGCAAGACCCTTCAAAATTTTCAATATGAAAAAGAGTTCAATTCTACTCAAGCTAGCCAAAGCGATCTCCATCAAGCGCCTGAAACCTGATTTATGTGTTCGGTAAGAAACAGTTATCAGTTCCTTGTCCTGGTAACTGGATGTTTTCACTCTCTCTCATTCGATTACGTAATCTTTGACGCTGGAAATTCCACTATGTATAATCATTGTTGTTTGGAATAAAGTGAGTATTACTGTTACCATTGAATGCATACACGGAATTTTTGTTCAAAAATGAACTCTCTGAGCAGGCATGTAAGCATGAGTAAGCATGTTTCTGTACATAAACTTAATAAAATTTTTGGACTGTAAGCAGCTGATGAGAAGCCAACGGATTAAATGGTGGTACCATTTCATTCTGCACAGACTGTTGTTCTCGTATTATGATTATAAGTATTGTCGCGTTAACAACCCTGTTGTCTACCCCATTCATCTGTACGTTTTTCTATTACACCTAATTCTATATAAAAGCTTTCTTCGTGTTATGCAACCTCTGACATGTACTCGCTAATAGTCAAAGTCTTAGTTATCTAGCGATTAATTTATAGATAACTTCTACATCATATTCGCTGTTCAGAAATATTTCGATGACGTACTTTTATTATTATTTGATAAAGTTCCAAGCGGAACATAGGGCTTCAACAGCACAACTACTTTCATTCATTTTCTCGGCAGTTCCGTTTAGCCAGCTTCATGATTGCCGATAAGCTCTCATCTCCTCCTCACACCATCTCTCCCAAGTCACCCTCAGACATTCAACTCGTCGTTTCCCATTCAATGTCCTGGCGCACTTACCTGTACAATCGCAATTATATACACTTATTTTTGTAAGTGTGTACATTAGGTTTGTCCGGTAAGAATAAAAATTAGTTACATTTATTGTTGTCAAGACATTTCAAAAATGTGATGAATAATCAAACTGTAACTAGGAAGGTGAGGATGAAGATCGGTCAGAGAGTAGTGGTGATGTGTTGTCAAAGACATAGTTAATAATCTCAATCAACGCATAAGAGAAGCTGAATAAGTGTATTGTAGTTACGTATTAAGATGAATAGCTTATTGAGTGAGTTTCGATTAGCATGCACATAGACACAAAGAAAAATATGCAATTACATGAGAGTTCTAAAAATTACAGATGTTATAAGGAGTTAGAAAAAAGCCAGCACACAAACATCAAGTCAGTATGAGTCAACACGGTCGTTGGCATGATAGTAGAAGTGGTTGAATGATTTTCTATTGTATACAGAACTCTGGTTTTCCAACTGAATCTTTGACAAATAACAGCCAGTATCACGAGCGATTCCTAAATTGATCAGAGGAAAAACAATTACAATTGTGAGTATTTGATATTAATCATCAAGTGTACGAAAGTGATCTATTCCTAATGTTGAGGAGTTAATTAGAGTGTGCTTCTGACACTAGCCTTTGGAATATATGACTGTAGTTGTTCTCTACGAATAGTAATGAAATATACTAGCCCATTGGGAAAACGAAAATCCAAAATAATCCTGAGTTAGTACAATGAGATCGGAAAGTGATCGACGAAAATGTTTGTGCTTCAAATAGTGAAGTGTCAATTTACGACTTTTTTCGAAGTATGCACAAACTCAGATTTCACTTCTCCGTACTTCATTGCTCGTAACCCTTTTTATAGTAGTCATTCGATGGTTAGGGAAACCCACACATATTGGACAGAATTCGTGTGTGGTGAATTTAGTTTCCAGAGGAAGCAAACTGGTGTTTTTCGATCAGACTGAGAGAGTTTCCCAGTTGTGTTTGTTCTCGCCGACTCATCATGAAGTTGGAAATTATTCGCATTCATTGCAGAATCGCTCATTGTTAAGACTAGATGCGAACAAATCCTCCCAAATTATTTCTGGCAATAGCTACTACTACATGAAACACGGGATATGACAAGTCACAAATTCACCGCACTCAAGTCACATTCTGTCTTTCTATTCACTTTTCTGTGTAAAACTGAATCAGCCCTCTGACATCATCAAGCATGATACCACCATCTGTAATCTTCTGTTCACCTAGACGAATATTGGGAAACAGGAAAAAAGAGTTTGACTCTGTCAGAAACATTATCACCGCAGTTGGAGGAAAACGTTTAACTGCCTTAAATTAGTCAAGTCAACTGTTTTTACGCAGAAGTCTTGCTTGGATTCATACCATGAATATGTGCACATGATCATTATCACTCACGATTCAATATACTCCCAGATACGCTTCACAACTTAATGCTTCGTATTTTGTGGCACCTATATGTCGACTGGTATAAGTGTGCTTGGCAAAAGACTGTCCAGACATCACGAGTGACGATGAAAGTTACTCGGACATATGATGTCATGTGCATTTTTGGAGTAAATTTCGGTTTTCCGACAGAACTCTGAAACACTGCTCGTCGCTGCGCCGCAAACAAAACATGTTGATTTAAGGAAGCCCTCTGAGGCTTCTGACATCAAACAGTGTACACAGAATCCTCCCATACAACACCCTGACATTTACTACGCTTCCACTTCTGTGGAGAGAATGTAGACAGTGAGTGAAGAAACATGTCACAGGTTCCTTGCCCTAAATTCTTCGTAGGTCTTACACAACCATAATTCCTACTAGTCAGACAGATGATTGAGGTGACGTAGAAACAAGCGTGGTTCAAAGCTCACTTCAGCAGCATGGTCTCATTCATTTCTTGCCCAAGTACCGGTCCAGTTCACATTCTACCTGTGGTTCGCCAATCAGACTGGTAGGTGAATTCGGCTTTAAATTCCATAAGCATATTCCATAAGTAATCTGGCCAACAAAACGACCGAATCACTTTCACTATCCCACAGATTTTGACAGATGTTATGTCTGTTTGAGGGCGGTTGAGCGACACGATTAATAGCTTATCTCTTTCTATCTGTATGACAGAAAGGCGTTTGAGGTACAAGAATAGTTCCTGACACACAATGACAGTCAAAAGCCATGTACACACGATTCATCGTGTAGACGGGAGAATGTAGTATGTGCGGTCACCGAAGTTATTCAGTAGGATGTCCACAAGCACAAAGAACATCTGAAACCTGGTCATTCGTTCGTAAGAATTCACCACTGAAAATTCCTAGCAAGGGAAAGCGCTGAAATATTTCAAACATACCGATTCATTTTGAGTATTATGGCCATCGTAGCGAAGAATGCGACCAAACACAATCCACCGAATATGTAGATTGCAATATTGATCCAGTATTTGCTGCCGTGAACCAGAGTGTGTATTGTTTTCAAGGCATCTACATCCGCACTGACATCCTGGAAAATGAGACCGGTGAAAATAATAGCTGGTGATGGTTGCAGACTTTTGAACAAGCGGGTACCATGAACTGAGATGCACTATTATGATTGTGTAATTGGATGGATTTTTCAGTTCTTAACTACAGCTTTTCATCTATGTATTCACTCACCTACACGTTCGTCGTCTTCCAAACAACTGCTGGCACATTTTGTGGAAGGTGACTTCCTTACTTAGGTTCTCTATATATCCATTCGCTATATCACATTTGCTGTAGATCAGTGGGATATTTAGCGATTGCAAGCGTTCTACCTTGGTTTTCGCGCAACCTCCAAACAACCATCGCACGAAAGCATAGATGCTGAACGAATCACGACCTAACGAGAACACCTGCACGGATATCGCGAGTTCGCAATTTTTTTCAAATAGGCCACTTTATGAAAATCTCTTGCTACATTTTTGATACATCTTTGAATGTGTTACCTTCACAAAGACACCAACGTCTTCTCTTTACTAGGTGTCCCAAAGGAGTGATACTAAATGTACGAGTATCATAAAAGGAACTATAAATTCTGACTAACGCTTATCACTCTCATTCTTTTTGCATACTTGTTTCACTTGAGCCTCGATTTAAACTAATTATGAAACAGTTAAATAACGCTTACCATTACAATTCTCATAATCGGAAAGAACAGGTTTCCAGCCATATTTTGATATGGTAAGCTTCTGAAAGACGTAAATAAATAGAAGGGTTAATTGGCCGTTTCGTCTTCGGAGTTCTTTGTTACAAAACTCTCCGCGATACTAACTCGATACTAGAGCATGTTACTAACTCGAGTAAAGCCATTCTAGAAAAATAGGTGACACATTAAAGTCCAAAAGTTGGAGAGGAACTGCGATGTCATGAGTCTGCTGGAACTCCTTGTGTCACTGGGAAAGAATGGAATCAACAGAGGAGCAGGAAGAGAGCAATGAATACCAATTAGGATATTCTGATTCGCAGTTATTGAGGAAGTCCGAAAGTTCAAAGACGTCTGTTGATAGGATGCTCATGCAAACAGATCACATTGATACGAGCACATACAATGAAAATATATAATCGCCTCCACCATCGTATAAAAAGTTTCGTGGCTTCACTGGTGAAACCATTGATCGGGGAATGCTCCACAACTCTGTATGAATCCATGAAGATATAACCTAAGAACTACGCTCAAACTCTTTGCATTTATAGGATCATTCTGTGGACAGAGCTGTTCTAGGCAACATTTATAAACAAGGTTCTAATGCGTAATACCTGTTGGTTGTAAAGACATCGTTATACCAAAAGGAAATTATATCACATTACGTATGTCTCCAACGGATATCAGGTCGTCCTGCTTGAAAATAAATATGTCTACTCGGGTACTGCAAACTTTGTATTAAATGGAAATCCTAAAAGTCTTGGAAAAGGTTCTCATGCGCTAAAAATACATCTAGCGACGGAAAACATTTCATTCTAAATTAACAGCCGACGTACTTAGAAACTCTCAGCTGTACTACACTGTAATCACAGCTGATCTAACAATTATTTCAGAGAACAAACACCACTGAACACACAGCGTCTATTTTTACACTTCGGCTACCTCATTGAAAAACACATCGACGCAGTTGAATCTGGACTCAATAACTGGCAGTCGTGTGCTCTATCGTTCACTGGTTCAATCGTGTAAATGCACAAATGCAATCAAGGACTCCCTCGTCACTTCTGAGTATGATTTCCACAGATTTGTAAAATATTCGACCTTATTAACTGGACGTGCACACAGCTCAAGTGTACAGTGTAACTACTTTCTTATTCGCCAATTAGACGCACACCTTCCCACTACATATGAATGTGCAAGAATATTCTAAAAAACAGAAAAAGCAAAACCCACTGACTTACTTCAGACTTGGATTGTCTATGTAGTAATTTAACTGCAGAACTTGGTGAGCCCCCAACGTGATTCCCGTCACCTGTAGTTATAACCGAAGTTCATGAATATACAAGTTCTTAATATTCGGTTAGTGAATGTCTGAAAGACTAAATTGTACACAATCGTGGAAAACACTTAGTTCCGAAGCATTCCCAGTAGTTGCATTATCTAAACGAAAACTCTCTGTATAGTGCTGTTTATGAGGAAAGTTACGACGACAAATAGAACAATCAGTTGTCGGTGTGAAAAGTGACCTACACAAAGCATTCGAATGTTTATTTAAGTCATCTGAAGCTAGAAACCAACTCACTTACTTGCATATACATATTCTTGGGCCAGTGGAATTAAAGCTGTCAAGACACAACCTCCGTGACACAATTTAGAGTGTCAACCTGGTAGATAGGAAAATGATCTCCTTGCACATCGTCTCTATCTTCACCAGCCTTCCACTAACAGAAACCATAGGTTCCCTTTGTGACTTCATTCAATCCAATAGCATCGGTGTTGGGATACTGGCCCATTGCCTACAAGAGCTGCTACTATGATGCACCTCCAACGACTACCTTAGTTTCAACAACGAAATATACAAGCAAGTAGTCGGAGTATCAATTAATTCTCCTCTAGGACACCTCTTGTCCGACTGCTGTATGACTAGCCTAGCAAACAACTCCTCAACATCAACTATAGACGTCCTTCATCTCTACGAGAGATACATCAGTTATACCTTCACTATATGTGATGAGAATTTTGATCTGAAATTCCTACTTTGAACCTTCAATAACGCCCACGCAAACATCGCCTTCACTCTGGAAGTTGAGTCGGACTCAATGTTTCATTTCCCCGATGTTCAACTGCGAAGGGATGCTGACAACTCGCTAAGAAGATCCATCTACAAAAGGCACACATGGAACGGACAGTTTATCAACTTTCAAAGTTGTGTGCCTCTAAGCAGAAAGAGGAACCTAATATACTCTCTTTCCTCGAGGATCCGGAAGATGTGCACTGAGGAGTCGAGTGACGAAGAATTGCTAAATCTCCGATGGACATTGATAGAAAATGGACTCCCAACCAGAATCTGAAACCAAAGAAAAGGCCTAAAATGGTCCAGGTCGCCCCCAAAATGATGCTGACAATTGAAGTTGAATTTAAAAGTGATGCCGAAGCTGGACTTCTCCGTAGACGGCTTTCGAAGTCTCTCAGTAGAACATTATTTGCCGCCAGCCTGCGAGTTATATTCTCCTGCAAGGAACTGCTCAACCAGCACATGAAAGACAAGCTGTCACATTGGTCCACTTCAACATGCATGTGCCATTTCACTTGCTCGTGTGGAGCCGAATATACGTTTCACTCTAATGTCACACAGGACACAAATGGAATTATTGATGCTCTCTAAACCGGTTTTCTCCTCACGATAGCGCCAAATGCAAACAATTCATGCACATGCTGCCACAACCTTATGTCCTCTGGCTGATACTCACAGTGAGTTGATATTGTCACTGAGTTAATGGTGAAATAATTATTTCGTACATAACAACTCCAGCTGAGCGTGATTCGACTGAGTGGAGGAAGGTATTTGTGAGTTCTGAGTGTTTCAAACACGAGCAACAATGACTAGCCATTTCTAGTTATAGGATATTGTTATTCAACTTGAACGTGTCAGAAGTGGCCAGTTCGTATTCTAATTTATTTATTACACAATACATATGGGTGGAGTAGCGATATACCGACTACCAAACTCACAACCACCACCTTCAATACATTGTAACAAACCTTCCCACTTACAGGATCTACCAGCATATATGTTCTGTCCAGATCGTAATCCGGTTCTGGAATGCCATGAAATCGATTGCGAATGCTGTGGTCGGCACCGATGAAATGTCCTTGTGAACCGTAAATTGGTAGATAGCTGTTGCTTTTCAAACAGGGAGATAATGCCACGAAGCCTTTAGGAGCGCACTTCGGTTCGTAACTCTGACCTTGGCAAAACTCTTGTGGCGATGGATAAACACTATTGTTCATTTTATCTTCTGAAGCCGGTTCGAACAATAACACCTGTGAAAATTATTTGACAGGGAGTGAGATTTATTAGGAGTCTGAGGATAATTTCCATCGTGCTGATGTCAGTAACACGTGAAGTCCTAACTTTTGAGCACCGAGGTGTCCCGAGTTATCGTCAACCGCGATTATTCACTAGCTCAGTTCTACCCTCTAAAGAAATCAATATGCATGCACAACCAACTTTGAGGCCTAGTGAACACTACGCTAAATTGTGTTTGTGTAAATGTGATCTGCGGTATTTCCATTGACATATCTAATATGTCAGTGATTGCTGGGTCACATTCTCCACATTCTGGAAACAGATCAATGCAGTAGAAATAGCAATCGCACATAGAATTTGATTCAAGTGACTGAACATTACCTGATCTCTAATAAATGACCAGGTAATATATTGACCCCTACGAATTTGTGAATATGAGGAAGTATATTTAGAGAACACTTTATCAGGTGGAATGTTTATCCCAACAACCTACTGTATTGATGAGTCCTGAGGATATCCATTCTGCAAGACAATGGAGACTTCTACTCTCGCTGGAAATAACTGGAATATAATGTCCTCCTCAAATGTACCCACTGAAACCTACCAAGTGATACAATACATTTAAGTGGTCGACTCTCAACCTTCTTACAGATTAACTGTCGCTATACTCACCATATATTAGCAAAACCCTCATTGTGCAGCAAACAAGTGAAAGCCATTAAAGGAAGGCAGTTCTGTAGATGTTGTTGTTTAGTTCATGGATCCATTGACAGATGTGTGAGAGAATGAGAATGGAATGAGTATATTCACATGCCACCCCTATTCTCAGTTCACCAAAACTCCGAAGTGGGGTTTCACATGTCGCTTTCTTGTATGGCAAAACTCTAGACGCCTTAAATTCTTTTTTACTAGTGTTATGGACGGAACTACAAAGGACACATCTATTATGGGCATATGGGAAAATTTGGAGACATTATGCAACATCTGCGAGGAAACCTGCCCAGTGAGACACTGGAATTCTGTAGAGGTGATGTTGAGCAAAACCTGTATAGCCGCCGCCTAAGGCAAAAAGAAGTGGAGAAACAAGAAATGGCTCTATAGAGACTAATAAAAGCTACTACAGGACACAGGGATGATGGAACAGAAGATGAGCCAGCGTAAAGATGAACAGCGAAAAGAGAAGCTGAATTCAGTCTACAGTCTACAACAAAGAAGTGAGGATGAATGTTAGTGGCGACAAAAGATAATTCCACGACACACTGGGAATGGATGCGGAACAAGGTGCACGTAAGAGAGACGTCATGTCACCATGCCTGGTAACCAGTTCACTATCAGGGAAGTGATCAACACAGATGACACGGATGGAAGATTGTGAAAGCAGACTAATCACTAACCATAAGAAACAAAGGAAGCAATGGACCGACCAATTCAAAAGACTGGTGAGTCGGCCATCACCCACAACTCGCTCAGAAATACCACCAGCAGCAATCATCAGTGAACACCAAACCTCATACAAAAGCAGAAATCCTGAACGCTCTGAAGTTACTGAAAGCTCGAAAGGCATCAGGAGCAGACGGCATTCCTCATGAGGCAATGAAAATGGATCCAGAGACCTCAGAGGATATGCTCACTCAACTATTGCAGAAGGTTTGGATGAAACGAAAGATATCTGCTGGCTGGAAGAAGGGCGACTTGGGCTCTGCAAGATCCGGGTCCGAATCAGGCTCGTGTCCACACCAATTAAAATATTCGACTGTATCATCCTGCAGGCTCTAAAAGATGTTCTGTATGCAAACCTCCACCTGAGATAAGCTGGATTCAGGAAGGGCAGACTCTTCGTATCATCACTGAACAGAGCGTGAAACAGCATTCAAATCTCTACCTCAACTACGTCGACTTTGAAGAGACCCTCGACAGGTTTGACTGTGAAGTAATTTGGAAACTACTTCAACTGCTTTCTCCTGAAATAGGTTCTTGGTTGGTTCGTTCACGGAGTTCCTTGTTGCCAATCTTCGCTGTTCATGTGATTATCAGTATGAAGTAAAGTCAGCTTTTGATCACAGTCTGTAGCCTGTGGGAAAGTCTTTTGGTGGGACGCCAGCCAAGTCCGTGAGTCATACATACATAGAGATATATGTGTACACATATATATGGGAAGAGTGGGATAGACCTCATTACTCCCTGGGAATAATTGAAAAATGAAGATCTCTTAAACACGGCTCACTAGAACACATTAAGTGATAGAAGATAGTGAAGTGATCGATCCTCAACGTGCTTGCAGACTATATATTGCCAGACTCAACGTATATCAACGAAATGCCCATCATACGACCGAAGAATGAAAACTAGTATCAAAGAGGTGGTTCTGCAATGGTTGTCGTTTAGTCGATGTATCCAGGGAAATATTTTTGAGAGAATGAGAGCAGAATGAGTATCGGCTTCAATCGCACTCATAAAAGGCTAGTAGCAGTGTGGCGTCCATGATGGAGGGAAGAAAATAAATGAAATCAACATTCAAGTTCCACCGGCTCATTCAGGCTACTGAAGTACATTTCACATACGGCACTACCATCCATCTAGAAGTAACCCGGTGAACACTCTTCGTATCCATCAAATCAGTGAATTGATGGTAAGTGGTGTTAACCCTTCAAGGACTCAGTCATACTTCAGGTCAAAAAGGCGCATGCACATATCTAGAACTAGATCAGTATAGTTGCAGTGGTATCTGATGAAAACTATGTACATACATATTAGTATATATATATATATATATATATAGGTATATATATATGTATTTGTGTGAAGTGAAAGCATTTTTTTGCAATGACCCCATATTACCTCGCGTGCAATACCTTCCTCGTTTCAAAGATTTCATAAATGGTCTTTTGAAATGAGTTACTAAGAAACAGTAGAGAAATTTAATCTCCATATCGTAGTATGACTAATAAATAAGAAAGAGTGATGTCTAGCACCAATGTCATGAAATAAAGTAACATCTATGCTCCCCAATTTTAAAGAAATCAACTAGTCCTCTAACCTTCAATTCAGGATAGGCGGGGTGGGGTACTTCTTTCATAGCCTCCATCATTACAGAACGACAAACGCCATGGGCAAATATATATCTTTGCGAACCGACAGTGAGTCCTGGCCCCAGGGAAAATCCATCTGTAAGGAAAACCAAATACCATCTTGAGCAGGAGTCACAGAAATAACACGTGTTTACAATATCAACATGTCAAAGTAACTTGATTTCCAATTTGTGATTCACATTCTTTAGTTCATCATATTACCAAAATCAATAGATGTCAATAATCCACTTTATTTGCTTACCACTGCCATTAATATAGTTCGCATATTCACTTTTCCATACATTGAGAACACTGCAAAAGAAATGGAAAGAAGAAATTTAGTTTGTGTTTCACGATTTCTAGCAACACATATACCAACACGCGCACACGCAACATGGACCGGGGCAACGCAAAGAGTTCGGAGTATTGTTTGGAGGATAATGCTGCTTCGATGTTGTGTGGCAGTTATCAAAGTGGTCCGATACGATTACACTCAACTACAGTCTGCACACTCCATTTTTCCGATGAACACAAGTGATGTCCTTCGTGTCAAAGAACAGTCTCGAGTTTCAACTGGTCAAATGGCAGACACTTATTACACAACGGAGACGCTTTTATTTACTCGCCAACCTCCTATCTCACACTAAGTGTCATCCAGGTCTTTCCTTTCATAACGCCTCTCTTATTTTCAAATTCTGCTTGAGATGTGAAATCCCTGCAAGTGGTTTCCCTATCACTCTCTTCCAATTCCTCACTCCAGCACAAAGAATACTGCACCTATTCCTCAACAACTAACAACAGTGTGCTTATATTCGATGGCTGTGACCATTAAGAATACACATACATTGTACTCTGCAAGTTATCTGGAGAGGTAAGAGGTGATGATGATATAGAAACGGTTAATGCTGTCGACAAAGAAATAATAAATATGGAAATAGACAGCAACAAAAGCCAAGCATAAGAGTAATGGAAATTATGTGCACGAACTGGGTTGAATGCAAATCTGTCCTCTCTAATGCATTCCTTTATTCTAATTAGCTATTCCATCTGCTCTCCCCGTTATCGGTCAGTGTAATCATGAAGTGATTTGTTCGCCTTATGCAAGAAGAACAACAGTCACTCTGCTCGTCAAACATCTTCCAGTCACTGACGATGAAGGTCTCTTTGCTTTTAGTCACCAATATCTCAGCCATAACACAGGATACATTCATTTCACAACCTGATACGGTCATTATTCACAGATGTGCGTTCCCCTGTTCCTTTCTACAAACTGTCGAGTGAAGCTATCGTCGTGATTGTTGTTACTGAATAGGATGAATCACTTGAATAATGAATAATAACTCATTTAGCTTGAAATTATTGCTTTTGGAAATTGTTACCTTTGGCCATTGAATTTCACCACCTTTCCAAGCTCATTAATATCATCGACTCCAGTTTTAATAACAAACTCATTCTCTGATGTCCCATTCTCCTGAATGTTAAAACACAAAAAAACGCTGGTCAGGATATCGTAGAGAAAAGCATTTTCTAACAATCACACACCAATATACAGTCAATATCTCACTCACTTCTTTCCACAGGATATTCAAATAACAGTGACTTAACAAGAAGACTTTGTGTCGAAGAGAGAGTATTTAATTTGATGGTGGTAGCAAAACACTTGTCTACTGAATACCTTGAACACTCATTTGTACTTTGACACTAGGAACAAATTGTATGCTGTATCCTAGTGTTTCTTCGAATTCGCCAAGATGTGAGGTTGCAGTTCATTTCCAAGTCAAAATTGCCCGGCTGATTAGAGAATGCACAAGACTGAATGCCATGACGGGGCTTATTTTTATTACCACAAGGACTACCATTATTATTACTATTATTACTGCTGTTATTATCATAGCCATTCTTCCAACTTTTTACTGACACCAGATTGTGAAATATGTGAAATTTCAGAAAATGTTTCCTTAACTCACTGGTCAACTTACTGTGTGTCAGAAGTTTAGATTTTACGACCTGTGATAGTGATTTTGAAACACTGTACAATAGTTAGAGTAGACTGTGCAAATTAGCGTCTCACTGAATTTTATCTTTTTGAATCTTGCAGTTTGCTGGCTTAAATATATGTGTTTTAACTTTGTCTTAGTGAAGGTAGGTGATCCTTTCAACGACTTATTTATCAATACAAGTGGTTCATCATCACTGACGAAGCATATACTCTGACTGAACAGTATTCACCATTTCAGCGAATCTCTGCTTTTGCTCAACAGAAACACGTGTATGATATCTTTCAGCACCAAAATTAAAACAAAAGTATTCACAAGCTTGTTCAGTCTCCAAAGTCGACTGATTTCTAACTCTTGGTAACTCCAACTGCCTTTATGAATTCAACTGTTCGTGCGTCATGAAGTACACAATGAAGAACTGAGAGGTGGTTGTCTACTGGGATTATTGGAATCCTGCCATGATATCCGCGTATTAGAGTTTCAGCCTGATTTATTAATGCACCTAGGTGACGCAATGCACCAGATCAATTTGCAGGTATCTTTCAAGGTGATAAACAGACAAGATGCCACACCAGTACCCAAATTACTAGAGGTGGCGATTTCGGAGGAATGAACCCTGAATTTAGTGTTCAGAAAGCGACCAATACAAGCCTATTATTGCCTTGACAAGCATTGACTGCTTCATTTCAACCCTCCGAAATCTCAGCTAGCTTTTATTAAGCAACTTGGTGCTTACATCCGTATGCTTTCATAGTAATCAATATCCTTGCTAGTCTTTGTTATCATTAATATCCTTCAGTTCGTTTGAGCAGCCATTCACACGCAGCAATCAACTGCGTCCATATTAAAACTCATCTTTAGACTCTAGAATATTCTCTTCTCTAACTCCCTACGTTGATTATAATGTATTTTTTTAGATTTCTGCATAATTTACACGTTATCTTCGTTCTCAACAGTTTATTTTATTCACATAAAATAAACTGACTATTCAGTTGAACTATGCCAAAATCCAAATGACAGTGATTACTTATGCACCGTACTTCTGAGGTTGTATGCAGCTGATCAAAATCACATGGATTAAATTGAAATAACACTATCATAGAAAAGTTTATCTAATTTCATCATTCAAGTGATGTATGCGACATAATTACATGGAAATAATTTTCCATTAGCATTCTCGCACATATATTTTTAGTCACCATCAGACCATGAATCAGTGTACATAGATTCTTTTCAGATAACTAATTATCACCAATCTAATATAGAGTAAAATTACTTTATGAAGCAGTAAAGGCTAATGAATTAATTAATTTGCAATAAAACTGTACTCAAGTTTATATTTCACAAGCCATTTAACTCACACTAACATAAACAGATAATTTGTCGGATGGACATTGTCCATAAAAGTAACAGGATTCTATATTTTCATGAGTATACCCCCAAATTATTTCTTGAGGTGTCGCTGTTACAAATGGCTTAGCAGCGATTAGGAAACTCCGTGTAAAAACACCAAAACCTTGTAACACTAGGGCCTACAAATATAAATGGAGAAATTCCAAAAATCAACCAAATTATTAAAATATTTATAATAAGTAACAAAGTGGATAATGTTATTAGAAGACGGAGATTATCTGAAATATGTGATTCATTTCATATATATACCTATGACAAGTCTGTGTGTCATCAGATTATTCGAAATGTGCTGCGCAAATACATCACACGATTCAGACGAACTACGTCTTCTATTGCTTCGTCTAAATTCATAAAGGGAACTAACTGCCTTTACGAGTTTATCACGGATTGATATCGGCTGGAGAACTAACTGTTTTAAATTCATTATTACTCCTAACCCACCTTGGTAATCCTTATCTGATTGGATAACCAAACGTTGTGTTATTTATTCTTGTTATTCTTAAATCCCTTTTGTCACTTTGTGTACTTGAACTGCTCTGAATTTTTTACATAAATTGACTTGATAAGTAAACGTGTGGTCAGATTGTTCAAAATGTGTTGCGTAAATACATCACATATTTCAGATAATCTCCGTCTTCTAATAACATTATCCAAATTTATAAAGGGGACTAAATGTTTTAATAAGAATAAGTGTCTAATTTTTAATAGTTGGATATATTTCGTAAATACGTGGTTTTTTCACATCCGATGAAAAGTAGCAAAGATTATCACCAGAAATCTTTTAAATAACACAAATATCTTTTAAATTGTTCAAATGACAACACACGCATACGTGCGGTTCATATTTTCAGACACTAGGCAAAGACATTCATTGGGCTAACCTGTGTTCAGACGTCATAAGTTCGTCAGTATCAGTTGCGAAAAGTATCGATCAAATCTAATGCATTAAGGCTAACCAGAGAATGGGTACTACTCGTAATCTATTCATCACCATCAAAGACTCCAGAGGAAGAAATTACTGCGTTTGAAGGCGGAAAGGCCACCTGCCTGATCACCTAGTGGATCATATAATCCGTCAACCGAATTCACTGTCTTTACACAACTAAGGGCAGTAAGACGACAGAATACCTCAGATCAGGGGAATTCGAATAATTTGTGATTCCGCTGTACGCGTGTCTGATTAGATGCTCCAGTCAAAACCTACTTGAAGGAAAAACAATCTTTACCCAGTTACTCAGCAAGTACTTTTATGCATTCCTTCTTCTCCCTTAGGCAGCCATACTGCTATCACAGGAAATATGTCACCGATCTCAACACTGAATAACTCATCACAATACACACAGGGTGTAGCCTTAACATTGTTTACTCCAGTCTTAACGGTTTCAGACATCATGCTTAACAAAAATGCTATTAAGCAAATTTGTTTGCGAAGGAACACAGTAACAAAGTACTTTGAATACAAAGAATCAACAATAAACTTTATTCTAGAAACGCCTTCTACACACACTACTGTTCTCCGTCAATTTTTAATAATAATAGGAAACTGTTCACGGCGAAAACACCATGAAACATAAAGACAGAAATAGTAGTATTTGCGAATCCACTTCAATATAGGCTGGATAAATTGTGAGGTGATGATACACTAGTATGTCTGATGAACAAGATAAACTTTTACATGAAAGTGTGTTGCGCGAATGAACTACAAAATAAGTTATTCACCTCACATTTGTATCAGAGAAATTACCGAGGATTGCAAATTGTAAGAGATGAGAATATTTCAGTACTTACTGCGGTAAAAATATCCAAAGAAGTTACTTTGCCAACAAATGGGTCCGCAGCCATTTCATCGTGAACTTGAAAGTGGTATGATCTGGTTTTGTACTGGAGATATTTTGGAGGTGATTCATCAGAAAATTTCATATCACTCTTAAACGTTTGCTTCCTATGTAAACCAATTTTTCATTTCAAAAATCGTAAGATAAGAGGTTACTTTCATCAAGCTAACAAGATTGACAAACGTGTTTTAAAAATTTAGCTGACAGATATCGATAACGCATAAGAAAATAATAATCGAGATTGAACGAAGCTCTTAACAAATGCATATAAAGTACTATTACTATCTCACATACCTAAGAGGTTTAAATCCATCCCAGACATAAAACAGTGACAAGACTGGAGACTGACAAACTGTTTGCGAAACAGTTCCAGAGAACCACTCTTCACTATAGTCCCCTCTTACTCCTATTCCTATTTCCAACTTAGAAAATATCTGAGGCACTCGATCGATAGATATCTTAGCACACAAAGAATCATTAGAGAGCGTCCGCACTAATAATAACCAAGTTACTAGCTCAAATCAGTAAAGTGTGTATCAATTGATATAGTTTGATAAGAATAATGGAATAGCTCACTTATAACGAAACGGTCCAACTTCCGTGAAAACTGGTTTGGCGCCATTGAGAACGGCGTGCTCGTTGGTTAAGTTGTAAAGGTAAAGTGATGTGTTAAGTGCTGTATCGTTTCCGCTGAAACTTTCAAACACAAGACTGTCAGGGACGAGGGTGAAGAACTAGAAAGGAAACAAGAGGCGAAAACACAATGCATAGCTTTCATTAATATTTCAATAAAGAGATCGTCAATTTTATGTTATGTAAAGAGCTGTGTGTTGAGGATGTTTTCACCTGAGAGTGTTTGGCCATTGAGAATTAAATGGTCGAATATCCTCTTATTTACTGATGAAACGTCAATAAAATTTTCCGTTCAATTTCAGAATCGTCGTCATGAACATAGAAAGGATAGTCTCGTATCTCCTCAACTCAAGCAAGTTCCGTCATAAATGATTAACCACCATATGCATACATATATATAATTCGCTTTGTTGAGGGAATTTAAGTGTTCAGTCGTTCAGTTACTGCTGATAAACAACGATTGTGAACTCTTCGCCATCGCCAAGCAGGTTTCCCAAAATCATCTTTTCAAACATTCATTTTGATAACGAATAAGTTTGCATAGTCTTAAGAAGAATGAAAAGTGAAGTAATATGAGTGCTCCACAAGATGAAATGACTCAATCTATCAGGATAATTCATCGAAGGCTGGTCAGTTGACCAGTGCTGACTGTGTCAGTTATTCACACGATTATTTTACTTACAAATTATATGTGATAAAAATGAACAACTTACGCGTGCAATTACAGCACCGTGAATTCGATCGACATAGTAGTGGAGGACTACGCAACCAGTGAATAGAATGAAGGATACGACAAAAATGGTGTGAGCCAACGATCGACAAACGTTTCCTTGAAGCATCACTACGTATTTGTGTGGTTTTCAGAACAAAACTGGCTTCCTTCTTGGGAGGTATCGATGAATGCTGATGATGGAAAAAATTTCGATAATTTCTCGAATAAGCGGAACTCTGTGTGAGTGTTGCCAAGGATTTAGGCAACATACACGTGGAGAGAAACAGTAAATATAATGTCATATTTCTTTAATTTTCGGATGCTTCCATCAATATTTCAGAAATCTATCTATGTCATCATCATCACCAGCCACAACATTGGCAGCAGCAGTGGTGACGTGTGAGGATATAACGAAGCATTGTTTGGATTGTGTTTAGACAACTCGATTCTATGCTTAAACGACAGTAACCCCACATAATGGATACTGTTTTATCCATCCGTGTTTTGATGACAGATCTTCGCGTAGCTCAGCATCTTGGTGGTGGTTTATTCATATTGTTTTCTAATTACATTTGCTGCTACAATCCATGCGTCATTCAATGAATCTTCTCAAATTGTCCTAATTTGCTAGGCACCAGGCAGTTTGTAGAACAGACATGCATGGTCAGGCTTCCTTATCGTCTCAGGAAGATTACATCGAATACAACCTGTCTGCTACTTGTGCCTCATTTTTATAATTGTTTCCAGTGAATCATTTCCGTGAGTAAAGCAGACAGTACTGCATTAACATCAATATATGGAGTCAATAGCGGTCCTTTTACTGTTCGTCTTGTACATTCACATATATATATATATATATATAAATTTCATCCAAGAATCCCTTATCCTCATAAACTGTATCTGTATTAATCTTACAAGACACTCATTAGATCAGTCAAATCGTCTATGGTTATGTCACATAACCAATCACCATAGGAACCAAAAGAATACTACTCTCCACAGACAAGTGTTTTATTACTACCACAAATTTTAAAACATTAACGCATATATGGAAATCAAATTGAGAAGAATCTCAAATAAACAACAGTACTCACTGAAAAGTCGACCAGAGAAAGCTGTACAAAATGTACCCAACCAACTTTGGTTTATATAGGATTCTCAATCTCGTTTATCTGCTGATCGGATGACACAAGGTTACATTTGTCGGTTAACATACTGAATTGTCTACACTTTAACAAAAGAACAATGCTTTGTATACATACAATCTTGTTGGTGTAATTATCTCTTATCAACAAAGAACACATAGCAGTAACAAGTTTGCGTGGTATGCTATGCTATGCTATTGTTCAAGCAAAATAAGAATAGTGTAATTATCATTTACACAGATACTGTTCAACTCTTATAGTATTCGGAAAGACAAAATATTCTAATTAAATAAAATAATGTACGCTTAAGGAGAAATATTTTATACACTTTTCATAAAATTCTTATCATGGTAATCACAAAGGGGAATTATTCAGCCACTTCTACTATCATAGTGACACCTCTGTTGAGCACACTTTACTTCTGATTTTCTCTTGTTTTTCTAACTACTTAAAACTCTTGTGTTACTTTAAAACCCTTACGTAATTCCGTATTTTATTTTGTTTCCATGTTCACCCTGTGCACAACTCTTTCATCAAGTTATTCACGTTGTTACGTAACTCTTCTTTAACAATCGTTCGTGACAACTCACCACTTTTGTTTCTACTCTATTATATCAACACCCAATTCCTCTGAATACTATTTGTATTACGTAACTCCATCCAAAACGTACTTACTGTCACCTGTTTAATTAAAATGACCATAAACTATTGTATATTTGTTTGACAAACTTAATGCATACATTTATACGAAATAGCGCATATATATTTCCTATTGTACAGCTAAGTAAATGAATTCGTCGAAAAGAGACTCTTCGCTGAACTACTGCTCTTCTCATAAAGTATAAATATATTGCAATAGATTACACACAATGTAAGTTTTGTTATTGGTAGTATTTCGAGCAAAATTACTGCCCGTGTTCACACCACTGTTGGAATTGTTTGATTCACACATTTATGATTTGTACTCATATATATAGTTCATTATTTTTGCTCATTCATGTTTTTTTTGTATTTGAGTTATATTCCACGTTCATTCATGTGTTTGTATTCAGAATTATATTCCAAGTTGTTGATAGTTGTACTGAGTCACCCTTGTTACATGTATCCGGTGTGACTTTAATGTATATCGATTCTGTTATAAGTCTTTCTTTCCATTTGTTCATGTTAGTTTTTAGAATACACACATTGTCCCAATCGATATTGTGGTTTTTGTCCCATGCATGTGCAGCTATCGATGAATTTTTTTCAAGATTTTTGTAGGCTTGTGTTCCTGTTGGTTGACCTTTGGTTAGGCGTTTATGTTCATTCACTCTTATTTTGAGTGATCTGGACGTTTGCCCCACATATTTAGTTGGACAGTCAGCACAAGATATTTTGTAAATCAAGTTGTTTTTATCCATCATTTTTAATGGGATCTATCAGCTGATTTATTTTATTTTTGATTAGATTTGTCGGTTTGAAAGTTGTGTGAATGCCGATATTTTTGAGGTTTCTTTGAATTGCCTCTGATGTACCATTTTTTATATGGTATTGTGACTGTCTTTCTGCATTCTTCCATCGTGTTATTCTCCGGTTTTACCCTCTTTTTTCTTTTTTTTATATTATCTTTTTTAAATTCTTTTGGGTAGTTGTTTTCGAGTAGCATTTTGAATAGGACATTTATTTCTTTACATTGGTCCTCTGGCGTTGTTGTAGGTCTACCTATTATATCTGCAAGACCTTGTAATAATCCTCGTTTCACCGTGAGTGGATGAGCTGAGTGATAATCAAGGATTTTTCCAGAGTGTGTTTTTTCTATATAGCGTCGTTTTAATGCTACCATCTGTTATTCCTTGTATTTTGCAGTCTAACATAGGTAGTTCCCCAATTTCATTCTCTATTTCCATAGTGATTTTTATTGAGTCGATATGTATCAACGGTGACTCAGTACAACTATCAACAACTTGGAATATAATTCTGAATACAAACACATGAATGAACGTGGAATATAACTCAAATACAAAAAAAACATGAATGAGCAAAAATAATGAACTATATATATGAGTACAAATCATAAATGTGTGAATCAAACAATTCCAACAGTGGTGTGAACACGGGCAGTAATTTTGCTCGAAATACTACCAATAACAAAACTTATCATTGTGTGTAATTCATTGAAATATAATTATATTTTATTTGATCTAATCCGCAATCCTCAACCTTCCTACTGATATTACTACTGGTCTTCTCTCTTAAACTGTAAAATTCTCTATAATTTCCCTTAATTTACTAATAATTTTCCATTTATATTGTTCAGTTTAAATGAGAATCTTACGGATCTATTTCATAAATATAAAATTCTCTCACCCGATTATTTTATTAGTCTCAAGGTTATATTACGGCGACATTTGCGATTGTGCAGTTAAGAAAGTGGATTCGCAGATAAGAGAATCTTCGCTGAACAAACTTTCTATATTTTAAATCACGCAAAAGTTTATTTCAGCATCATTTCATTTGAAGTCCTGCTATGATGCCACTTCATAGTTGATAAGCAATTTCTTACTTCAAATTTATGTTAGTTATATAAAATGGTTCTGGCCTGCTCTTATTTATAACCTTTGATATCTACTACACTTTGATTGTCGCCTATTCTGTGTTCGGAAATCACGATCCCTTTTACATGGTATAAATTGTCCAGACAGTTTGTTCTTCTCCTTATTATTATTATTGTTATCGTAATCCACAGTAGATTCTAGCGTCGGTGGCATAGCGGTTAGGACGCTCGCCGACCATTCACATGGTCCGGGGTTCGATCCCTGGCCGACGCACTCCTTTACCTCGCTAAGCCAGAAATAATGTTGGTAAAGAGGAAAGGTTGGGCATGAGGCTAGCAACCCCATCCTGTAAAATAAACACTGCTACAGAAACTTCAAGCTAATGGCTTGAAGCCCTATGTTCCACTGGGAAACGTGAAGGAAAACAACAACAACAGTAGATTCGACGCTTTCCTACATAGCAGTGAAGGGTCTAAGCAGATATGAAATAAATCCTTCTGCGTTATTGCGATTGACGCGTTTTAAATACATGTAGAATAATACAGATATTTTGCAATCCCGACTATAATTACATAGAAATATTCTGCTGCGAGGTCTAACATGCCGTCATTGTTATCACATGATATTCATTGTACAGACTGCTAATGAGGTGGACGCTTATATCCCTCTCATGGAATAATGGTAGGAGATCAAATCCAATGTTATAAAATTGGGGAATTAAGAATGTTGGTGAAGAATTTCGATGATTTCATTATCAGTAATCTGTGAACAAGACGTTCGAGTCAGAAGATACCACTGGCGTATTTTAAGTATTCAAAGAACTAAAGCCAGTTTCTTCAAGCACATCTAGTAGACACTTCGAATTCGTTGATGTGCCTCCCTACACTTCAGTGCAATGTCTTTTTTGCAACAAACTATCGAATGCAGAATACTAACCAATAAGTCACACTTGGCTTCCTACTGCAGATATCCAATGTAGGATTTAGATATTGTATATTAAATATCTTCTCACACGCTCTAGCATTCCGGACAACCACTTGATGGTACGATGATCCTTCCATGTCTAAAATTGATGGAAGTGGCGGACCTGCTCTGTGGAGCTTTGTTAGGTCGTAGAGTCGAGGGAGAATGGATCATGTTGGTCTCAGACTTTCAAATAGATCATCAATTATGAGGCAGTCGTTCCTACATTTATGGTAACCACGCTACTCGGGACTTTAGTACCTGTTTAGTGTCTTTTTTACATACTAAGTATCTACGAGATAAAGTCTCGCCTGTTTAGTGTGACAGTACTGCAGCATTTAATTGGTCTCAATATGACATTTGGTGCAAGAATACCTAGTAGAGCTACTGGTAGACAACTCCATGGTGCGCGTTATTTCTCCGGTTCGAACGCAGCTTTCCGGTCAGCAAATAGACAGAATAGTAGTAGTTGATTACTATGATATACACGAGTAGCAGCTGCCCAACGACTGAATCATTGCTTATACTTACAGAATGAGTGTATGCTCCACCTTACACGGACTCTTTAATTTGTTGTTTCTTTGTTTATCATTCTATCATCTGTGCCTTCTTTCTGTCATCCTTCTACATTGTCTATCTTTCTAACAGTTACGGTGGATT